CCGAGGGGCGGTGGCAGTGGGGAGGGGCGGGGCAAGAGCTGCCTTCTGGCCAATAGCAACGCGCCAGCTGAGATTGACGGCTCATTCAGCCAATAGACTCTCGGCTGGGGAGCCCATATAAGCCGCGCAGCCAATGGGCGCGCTCGGCGGGATGCGGCGGAACGTGGAGGTGAAGGCGCGGGTGCGGGCGCTGGCGGAAGCGCGCGGGGCGGCCGAGCGGCTGCTGCGGGGGGGCACAGGTGAGCTGTGCCCAGGTGAGCTGTGCCCAGGTGAGCTGTGCCCAGGTGAGCTGTGCCCGGCTGACGGGCACGCCCAGGGCACAGGTCAGGGGCAGCTGCTCGTCCAGGCCGACACGTTCTTCCGCGTCCCACGGGGGAGGCTCAAGCTGCGGCGGACACAGGTAAAGGGTGGGGTGAGGGGTGAGGGAGGGGCTTGGGGGGGTGAGGGAGGGCTGGGCTTGATCCTGCCCCTGCCCCTGCCCCTGCCCCTGCCCCTGCCCCTGCCCCTACCTGGCCCTGACCCTGCACGACCCTGTCCTTGCTTGCCCCTCGTCCTACCTGACCCTGTCCCTGCTCGATGCCCCACCTGGCTCTGTCCCTGCCCCTGCCACCACCCGCCCCTTTTCCCACCTGTCCCCACCCCTGCCTGCCCCTGCCCCTGACCTGAGTGACACTGACCCTGCCTGACCCTGCTTCTACCCGGCCCTGACTCTGCGTGTGTCACTCTGGCCCTGGCCCTACCTAGCCCTGTCCCTATCCGTCCCTTACCTTTCCCTGACCCTGTGACCCTGACCCTGTGACTATGACCCTGACCCTGTCCCTGCCCACTCGTGCCCCTACCTGACTCTGACCCTGCCTGACCCTGTTGTTACCTGACTCTGCCCTTACCTGTCCCTGATCCTGTCCTTAACCCTGCCTGCTTGCCCCTGACCCCACCTGCCCCCGACCCTATGCCTGTCCCCTGCCTGTCCCTGCCTATGTGACCCTGTCCCTGCCCTTCCCTGTGTGTCCCCATCCCAGGATGGCCGGGGGGAGCTGATCTTCTACGAGCGCCCCGACACCGCTGGCCCCAAACTCTCCAGCTTCACCATCACCCCCACGGCCGACCCCGATGGGCTGGAGGTGAGAGAGGGGTGAGGGCCCTGTGGGACAGCACCCAGGGGTGCCACCTGCTCCCCCTGCCCTGGGGGACCTGCACTATGGGGGCTTCGGGGTGTCCTGGGCACTGTGAGGTGTCTGGCAGTGTGGGGTGTCCTGGGTGCTGGGTGGGGTGTCTGGTGATCTGGGGTGCCCTGGGCCCTGAGGGGTGGCTGGTGACATGGGATGGCTGGTGGTCTGGGGTGCCCTGGGCCCTGAGGGGTGG